ATAGGTTACCTGGACCTATCATTTAAGAAAATAAAATCGAAAAAAAAATTTTTTTCCCCGGCGATCAAGGGTGGTCCTCTCGCGGACCCTCTCTTAATATTAATGAACTAAGTGGTTTAGTGGAAAACTTAATTTTAATATTAAGTGTTAAGTGATTCACTTAATTAAGTTTTTTAATTAAGTCCCGTTAAAAGAAATGGTCCACCCCTAGTGTGCAGCAAAAGTGACCCGTCATTAATCTCGTGATCTCTATCGTGAGATTTTGTATTTTCATCACTCAATCAAATGGTATTTTCTTAGTTCTACATATAACTTCTGCATTGTAATCATATCCTCTGTAGCGTCTATATCACCACTGTATCCTTTAGATCCTGTGAATCGCAACTATATCCGAGATAGACAGAATCCCGTTATCCTCGTGAGGAAGTGACTATTATAGCTCTTTTAAATAGCATACAAAGCTTTAAGATCGCTAATCTCAGCCAAGCTGCATTGGACAAAAACGAAATTTCAAAAATGGTAGAGCTAGATATACTGATGAAGACCCACTATAGAATAGGTTTTGGAATTCTCATGATGGTACCTGAAGAAAGGTGCAAAGTTAGAGAAAGTGGGAAAGTACGTCCCAACGATGGCTTTGCCATTTTGCTCAGGAACAAGCTACAGACCTGGGATTTCAGCGTTAGATAGAGAACAGTTAGGCATTTCTAGAGCACTAATAAAATTTAAAAATCTACTTGAACTTCATAGAGATATTTCACCCCAAAAAACTTCAAAAATTAGCATTTTCTGTAGGTTTTTTCCCAAAAAAAATGGAACATAAGGGAAAGAACCGTCCGCTATAAACAAAGATCACATCAGGGAGTAGTATCTATAGTAAGATATCCAGACTTCTCGCATGTACAATAAAGAAGTTAGGGTGTGGGTGTGGGGGGGTGTGGGTGTGGGTGGGGGTGGGTGTGCGTATGGGTGTGGGTGGGTGTGCGTGTGGGTGTGGGTGTACGAGTGGGTGTGGGTGTGGGTGTACGAGTGGGTGTGGGTGTGGGTGTGGGTGTGGGTGTGGGGCATGGTTGTAAGTGTTATCTTCAACTACACCCACACCCACACCCACACCCAAAATGTGCGACACGTGTACTTTTTCGGGAATCGTACGATGTCAAATTGTTTGTTGGAGCTACTTAGCACGTCTTAATTCAGCATTTATCAATTTTTCTCTTATGAATAAAAACACTGAACATTTGTCGATATTTGACAAAAGAAACGATGTCATATCAATAAACTAAAGCGGAGATATTCAACTGTGTATAAGCGTAGCCCACCGGTGGGCGACATCGTGGCGAATGGGTTAAACTAGAGAGAAAAGTCTTGTGCACATTTTGTAATATTTCCTAGAGTTATATCATTTGTTGTGCCGAAGGTATAACTAGCAAATGGAGTGTTGCTTTTGTATTCTCAAAAAAATTAATTTTTTAAATCTAGCACTTAATTTGCTAGTTATACCTTGAAAACGATAAATGATATGAGATCGGAACATATCACAAAATGTACACAAGATCTTTTTCTCTAGTTTAAGATGTCTTGCGATTCTGTACGTGCTTGGGTTGGATATTTATCGGAAAAAAAATAAAATGAGAGAAAATTGTTACAGAATTTTACTCCAAGAGCAAAGTTAGCTGAATATATCCTATCCTATCACAGGTGTTTTTGTCTTTTCAATAAATTCATTAATTTAAAAATGTTCAATGAACATTCTTCACACATCATATTTCGATTAACTTTTGTTTATTCTTTATAACATAAAGTTTTCTAAAAAAAAAACTTTCTAAAAGTTTTCTCGAGATAATCAAAACAATTTTACTCTAATTCTTTGATTTTCCTATATTCTACATATAGAATAATCGAAAAGAAGTGTTGAACTATAGAAGTAGAAATTTAGACCCATAGACGTGACAGATACCTTAATAATATCTCCTACTCTATCACAGACCGTTATGAAGACGTTTGTAGATTCTTAATTTACGACGTAACCGCCTTGATGACATTTCAAATTTTAATCTCACAGAGATCAAGCAAACAGCTTTTTTTATACTCGTACCCAACTCATATTCATAATTTCCAATGTATGTCTATTATTTTTCTTAAAATAAAATAATAAAAAAGAATTAAAATACTTTTGACATGATCAATATGTTTAGGATGACAGATCTAACCATTAGAATATTCAAAAATTCAACAAGAAAGTCCAGTAAAAAAAGGAATACATGAGCAACTCTCTTCAGATATTCACTGTTTAATGTCAGAAGTATTTCATATCTCTGCTCAATTGATATCCGTATTCCTGATACTTAAATTCTACTCTATCAGTCAACTTCACACCTATATTTATATAATAGATTGTCATAATAGAGTATTTTAGAACTTTTCCATTTAAATAACAATATAGAATTAAATTACATGAATTATGATAATAAAGATCAATATTATCAATTTGAATAATATCTTCATATTTTTTAGCTTCTTGTTCAACATTTCGATTGCGTTTATCTTTGCCTAAAAATAATTAATATGAAAATATATTTTAGGAAAAAGCTGTTAGGTTAATTCCTTTGGGTTTAAAATGTGAAATATGATCGATCTGCTCACTTACATTGGAAATAAGACAATAATTATGGTGTCTCTTACGGTCTGTGACGCAGAGAAAGTGCTGCTAAGAGTGTCTATCGTGATCTGTGACAAGGAAGAGGGCCTTGCTAAGGTGTCTATCACTGTCTGTGACGAAGGACGGCATTGCTAAGGACGTCTGTGACGTATGGTTGCTAAGATATCTATCACGGTCTGTAATGGAGGGGGTCCTTGCTAAGAGAATGTTTGTCACGTCTGTGGGGGGAGGGAATGAACTCAAATTTCTACTTCTAAATACTTCAACACTCCTTTTAGATCGTGTTTCACAAAATAGTCAATGAGAAAGAAATTGTTGGAATAAAGGCGTTCAGAAGGGTTGTTTTGTATTCTTAACATCAATTATCTTGTGATGTTGATGATAAAGAAGGAGTGTAACCAGTATCAATCTTTTACCGTTGCCTGGTAAACGAAAATTTTTAAGCTTGATCTTTTTTGTCAAAGAAATCCTATTATTCGAACGTAACAACATTTTGTGAAGCATGAACTAAAAGGAATGTTGAAGTATAGGAGTAAACATTTGGATCTTCACCCCGCTCCCTCCCGCAGACCATGACAGAGGTAACCATGAAAATGTCACAGACCGTGACAGACGCCTTAGCAACGGCCCCCCTCCCTGGCCGTTGCAGACCGTGGAAGACATTTTGGCAAATTTTCTTATTTAGTTTTGATCGATCAAATAACGTATGAAAAAAAAAGTTCGCAGAACTTTTTCCATCAATATATGTTTGCAACTACGTGAGCAATTTTATCAAATAAATAATTATTTAAAAATATATTTATTCTATCAAAATAAAGGTTCTAACTAAATAAGTAAGAGATAGTCAGAAAAGAATATTTGTTACGTGCGTTGTTCCTACTGAAAAATAATTCTTTTATGTTTAATAATGAGAACATCATACAGATTTATTTCATCTTACATATTCGTTTTTATTTTTTTTTATGACAAAAAAAAACTAAAATAACAAATGTACAATGACAATAATCAAAAATTTATTTCAATCATAATCGACATCTATAATGTTGTTTAAAATGACTAAGTCTATCTCCTTTTTTTCTTTACAAATTTTATTTATTTTTTTTTTATTTTGTATTTTTGAATGTATGAAAAAACCTTTCTGAAGAACATTTAATGCTATTATATCTCTCATATTTCTTAAAATTAGAATACAAAAATATGTCGATTACAAAACATTTTTTTCCGTATATTAATTTTATTTATATTAAAATTTAAAATATATATATATATATATATATATATTAATAAAAAAAAACTTAAAACAAATGCTAATTTAATGTTATATTTATCTAAGTTTGTTTATTCATGTAATACGAATAGTTTGTCTTGCTTTTCAATTTTCAAATGCTGATTTGACAAGAACAATTAAATTTGATGAAATATTTGTTTTTAAATCTTCATAATAACATAAATATTCACTTTTAATAATAAATTTATTTAAAATAATATTTTTTGATAAACCTAAAATTTTTTCCAGATTATCTTCATCTAATATTGTTATATCAATATGTTTCATAATTAAATGATATTCATTCTCAAATGATTTTCCTGACTATATATAATATTGAACATCTACAATTACAATAACTAAGTATCTTATTACAATACATAAAATACATTTAATATAAATAGTAGAATGAAAACAATATTGACGAATAAACCAACGTTCGATTGATAAACGAGATATTATTGATAATTTTCATAATGTTAACATATATTGCATTCTTACTATACATTCGTTTTTATCTGAAAGAAAAAAAAACACGAAAGAAGGATGTAACATCTGTTTTAAATAATGTGCGTTGATGTAAGGGACTGCTTGGAAATCATCTCATCACATTTTTTGGCTATTTGGGACTCTCCATGCGATCATGAGTAGATTTTTCGCAAGGGGGAAAAAGTTGATTCTGTGATTCCACTGATTCTATTGATTCTATGTGATTCTATTGATTCCAGAGTCTGTATGAATATCATAACCTCTGTCCAGGTTCCGTAAGATTCTATGTGATTCCAAACGATTCTGATTGATTCCGAGTGATTCCATTGATTCCGACCGATTCCAACTGATTCCGACCTCCAGAATCAGCTTTTTCCCCCTTGAGTCTCCTGGTTCTTAGAATGTCCTAAAAATTTCAGGTCAAGGGAATGTTTTCTTCTACAGATATTGGGTATCCAAAACACGATCATGTGTTGCAAGAGAAGGTCAGAAAAGCGAATGTGTTCAACATTCGATATCTCAAGAGAAAAGCATTATTTTGGGCTGAAATTTTAGAATATTCTAAGGATCAAGATCTATCTATGGGCAAAATTTCAGATCAAAATCTCATAATTCGATTTTCCCATATATACCTTCCTATAGGTCGAATATTAGATAGAAACGGACGTAACTCGAGAAGGACAGCATACGCGGACGAACCATTTTAGGCTTCGTATAGTCTCATTGAGCTTTACTAACTGGTATAGATCCGATTCAAAACGGCGCGTCACACTTGGGAGGACCTTCCCTCGCGTTAGTTGCAAGGATAAGTATGTAGGATCATACAAAATTCTGATAGTGATTCAGAATTCTGTTTATTTGGACCTATATATGAAATGGTTTATAAATGCGCATATACAAAGCAGGGTGTGGGTGTGGATGAAACCTATAATTCAATCTGCATCCATATCCATCGTGATATCCAGACGGAGTATCTTAGTGTATGCAGTCCTCAAGCATAATATGATCAACATTGGTAGGACTCTCATTTACGCGTGAAACACATCCGTCGTGCTTCCCATTGTAATTCAGGAGAGATTATGTTGTTCTATATATATCTCATCTTGTTCACTCTTATGCATACTTTGTTTTACATAAACTTTTTTTTTAACAACCTCCTCATTCAATTCATCGTATATAAAAACAAATAGTATTTGTTTTACTTTTAGTCAACAACACTTTAAATTGTAAGATAAATAAAAGATGACTATAGTTCTTCAGTAATATGAAAGTTGTTCGATTTTTATTTCAAATAAGCTTTTCATTACATTGATTCAATTAATAGTTTACATCTACTCTTTATAAAGTCTTCAAGATTAAGGAAAAAAAATTGCAATAATTCTCATTGCAGTAATTTAAAATGAGCAATAGAAGAGCAATAGATATTGATTTTGGTACAGCATATTCATGTGTTGCTGTATTTCAAAATGGCAATGCTGAAATCATTCCTAATGAACAAGACAATCGAACAACGCCATCATTTATTGCATTTACCAATAACGAACGTTTGATTGGTGATGCAGCTAAAAATCAAATATCTATGAATTCAAAGAATACAATTTTTGGTTTTAAACAACTTCTTGGTCATAAATTTAATGATGCAACTGTACAAGCTGATATGAAACATTGGCCATTTAAAGTAATTAATGATAGGAATAAACCAAAGATTCAAGTTGAATATAAAAATCAAATAAAATTATTTACACCTGAAGAACTATCGTCAATGATATTAGCTAAAATGAAGAACATGGCAGAAATTTATCTTGGTAAAAAAGTTTCCGAAGCTGTTATTACTATTCCAACTTATTTTAATTCTTCACAACGTCAAGCTATCAAAGATGCTAGTACTATTGCTGGTCTTGATGTATTACGTGTTTTATATGAACCAGCAGCAGCTGCTATTGCTTATCGTTTAGTTAAAAAAACTTCGGATGAAAAAAATATATTAGTTTTTGATTTGGGTGGTAGTAATGTTAATGTAACAATTTTAATAATTGAAGAAGATGTCATTGATGTTAAATCAATAGCTGGTACATAATAAGAAATTCGATCTTTTTTTTTAAAGATTTTTATTTTGATTTGTTATTTAAGGTAATACACATTTAGGTGGAGAAGATTTTGTTAATCGAATGGTTGAATATTTTATTCAAGAGTTTCAACGTAAATATCATAAAAATTTATTAAATAACAAACGTGCTTTTCAACGACTACATAATGCTTGTGAATGTGCTAAAGTAAAATAAATTTTATTTTATCATAGAACCAGAGTAAAGAAAAACTTCAATCACTGTTTTTCTTCTTTCTCTAGATTACTTTATCATCATCATGTCATGTTTTAATTGAAATTGATTTATTACGTGAAGGTATTGATTTCTATTCGAAAATAACTCATGAATGTTTTGAAGAACTTAATATTGATTTATTTCGATCAATACTCGAATGAATAAAGCAAGTATTGATGAAATTATTCTTGTTGGTGGTTCAACACGTATACCAAGAGTACAAAAACTTCTACATGATTTTTTTAATGGTAAAAAAATTAAATAAATTAATGAATCCAGATGAAACTATTGCTTATGGTGCTGCTGTTCAAGCAGCTAATTTAACTGGTGATAAATCAGAAGAAACTAAAGATTTATTACTACTCGATGTTGCAGCATTTTCATTGGCAAGTAAAATTTGAAAAAAATAAAGAATTCTTTTATTAGGTTTTTTTTTTCTCTTTTAAGGGTATTGAAACAGTTGATGGTGTTATGACAACATTAATTAAACGTAATACAACAATTCCAACAAAACAAACGCAAACATTTCCATTAACATCATTTCCAACGAGTCAATTAGGAATCACTATTAAAGTATTTGAAGGTGAAAGTTCAATGACAAAAGATAACAATTTACTTGATAGTTTTGAATTCTCTGACATTTCACAAAATTCTAATGATGGATTAGAGATTGATGTTACATTTGATATCGATGCAAATAATATTTTAAATGTTTCAGTTAGTGATAAAACTTCTGGAAAAGAAAAAAGAATGCTAATTACAAATAAAAAAGAACGTGTATCTAAAGATGAAATTGAACGTATGATTTCTGATGCTGAAATATATAAAAAAGAAGATGAGATACGATGTAATCGTATTGAAGCTAAAAATTCATTAGAATCATATTGTTTCAAGATGAAAACAACAATTAATAATGATAAATTAAAAAATAAAATTAATATTTATGATGAAAAGAAAATGATCGATATTCTTGAAAACACATTGACATGGTTAGAAAAAAATCAGGTGAGATAGAATTGTTTATTATTATGATGTTTCTTATTTATTTTCTTGTTTTTAGTTTGCTGAACAAGAAGAATTTAAATATAAATTAAATGAAGTTGAAAAATTATGTTCATCCATAATGATGAAATCTCATTTAAATGCTGGAAAAATGTCAGAAGGATTTTCTCATGATCAACCAAGTGAGTAATGAAGACAGTTATGTTTGCTTAGAAATATCTCACTAAAAAGACAAATTTTTGTGGACTTTATGTTTTTTTGTGCAAGCTTCAAAATAATTAAAACGATTATAAGAAGAAAAGTTAGTCGCCAGGGTGTGGATGTGTTCTCTTCATTCACATCCACACCCACATTGTTCTATAACGATCTATTTTCACGATTCAAATATTTGTAGAGAATCTTTTACAATATGAATGGTATAGGAATAATACTAAAGTATAGCTGAAATATAAAACATACAGAGAATAATTCTGGAAACCTCTTTTTCATTTTAGAAGACAAGATTATTCCTCCTGTTAATGCTACATCAAACATCTCGATATCATATTCACGTTTTCTTGATATTCGAAATGAACATCAATATATGCTCTTATCGTAATTTTCTATTCATCATTTATAAGAAATACTATTCGTTACATTTTATTTTTAGAATCGAAGGATATAAAAACATACCTCTCTTATTCTTAGAAGATACTATCAAACATTTGGAGAATATGATTCCAAATGTAAGACGAAATGCATGGATTGCAAAAGAAAGATCTATTACTGTTGCTGATGGACTTACTCAAGATGAATCAGCTGCTATTCAATTGTACACAATGGAATGGATACCAAGTGATCAATCATTCTACATTCATATCAATACTGCTCTACGAGAAGCAAATCGAGATAAACTCATTCCATTTCTCTGCTATCTAAAACTTGTTCTAACGGCTCTGTGGAAACTTCCGCCAATGAAAGCAACAGTATGGAGTGGTGTTAAAGGTGATTTAAGTACTCAATATTCAATTGGCAAGGAGTTCGTCTGGTGGGGATTCAGGTTAGTTCTATTATTGTTAAGTTCTCTGTCGATTTTGCTTTAACTCTTTGTATAGTTCTTGCAGTGAATCACGTCAGTTTCTTGAACAAGAGAAATTTCTAGGCAAGACCGGTGTAAAAACATTATTTCGTATCGAATGTGAAACTGGCAAGTCTATTCGTGCTCATTCATATTGCAAAACAGAAAATGAAATTCTGCTTTTACCAGCCACACGACTGCAAGTAATCAGTCAAATGGATTCTAGCAATGGTGCAATTGTTATTCATTTGAAAGAGATTAAATCTCCATTTCCTCTACTTCAATCACCATTCACTTAATTCTTTTTTGTCTATCACCTTATTGTAAATATTAATATATTTTTTTCATACAAGATAGTAGTATACTACTACTTATGTCATGTATTTTTTCGAACAAAAAAAAGTCGTTCAAATAAAAAGGAGAAAGTAATTAGCTAGTGGTTTTATGTTGCAAATCATCTAATAATAATCAACTAGAGCGAGAGGGTGTGGGTATGATTGTTGACATTAATTTCCAAGGCACATCCACACACCCACACCCTAGACACCTGGGCCGATACATCTGTAAGCGTATCTCAAAAATCTTTCTTTTTGACGAAAATCGACTTTTCTGAGGGGGTTTCCTTAATGTGAAAGAAAAACTGAAAAAAAGAATAAAAAGATTTAAACTTTTGTTGCCTACTATAGTCCTAATAAGAAGTCATAACAAGCAAGATCGCAGTAGTAATAAAGATTAAGTGATATATCATTCTTTATTGTTTTAAATGTATATACATTACAATATATAGAAATTAGCCAAGCAGTTTCAATGCTGAATATTGAACAGCTTCATCAAAAGCTCTTTGCGAAGTAATAAGGATTCGATAGCTCACATATGCGATATAATTACTTAAAATATATAATATTGATCCACATACTTTCCGACCTGGATCAGTATCAAGACCAGTCGAACCGTTGTATATGAGAGTCCAACTTGAACCAAGGGTTAATGTAGAAGCAGTATTATTGCTTCCTTCAACTGTCACTGTCATTGGATCGCGTGATGGTTGATTATTAGCTGTACAAAATTGTATGCCAAATAACAATGATGCACCTTGCTGTGATGTTACATATAAACCAGTGTTCTGACCGCATGCACGATAGGATGAACCAGTACTATTACAATAGCCAAAACTGGTATACTTCGTATTCGTGTTGTTATCGAATACATTTGTTGGTACTTCACCAGTCCAGTAATTGCCAACATTACCACCAGTTGTGGATGGACTACTATTACCTCCGGCAGTTGTATTCCATATTCCCACAACCGTGTCATTGTTACTGACCAATCTGGATAAAGCTAGAAAAGTGAAAAAAAACTTTTTGTTTCGAACATTTCATAGTTTTTCAAAAATAAAGCTTTATACAGATGAAAGATAATCCATTTCATCTAGTTCGTACTATTTCCTAAGCTAAACAGTGCTCAACAATGATAGTTTTCTTATAGACAAGACACGAGCAGATAATGTGTTACTTGATGAAATAGATACTGTTGTTGTCGTTGTTGATGTTGTTGCTGATGTCGATGTTGTCACTGATGTTGATGTAGTTGCTGATGTCGATGTAGTTGCTGATGTCGATGTTGTCGCTGATGTCGATGTTGTTCCTGATGTTGAGGTTGCTGATGTTGTTGAAGTTACGATTGTTATTGATGTAGTGTTAGTGTTGGATTTGAATAAAAATGAAATAATAATTGCAGCAATAGCTCCTCCAAGAAGAATGGTAGCAAATATACAAAGAAGACAACAAGGGCATGAGTAGCAACAGAACCTAGCAAAACTTCAAATAATATTTAAATGATATGTCCAATAAAAGAAATAAAGCTCACGCTCTTCTTCTTTTCTTTTTTGTCTTCCATTCGTTAGAAGGTTTGTGCATTGAAATCCTTCGGTCCAGCGAGGTACCGTTCATCTACAGCATGAAAAGCGTTGAAAAATAAAAAAGTAGCTAATATTGATGAGCTTTAATGCGTCTTCTGTTCTTGAATATAGTATGGTGGTGTGACTCGATGTTCGAATTTGAATAGTGAGAAGTGGAAAAACCGTCAATAGAATTTTTTTCCAAAGAATAAAGACTAGTTCCAATGAGAGTGTACTTCGTTTATGATAAAGAAGAGCAATTCCCTAACTCTTCCTCTAGAAGCATCAACTATTTGAATAAAATTCCAAATGGTTGATATTTTCTAAATATGTGTAGGGGATAATTTTCTGTATATACGAAGGCGTTAAACAAATCTACTTTTATAAAATCCTTTATATTAATCTGTTAAGTAATGTTAAATAAAGGAGTTTCCTTTATCCAATCAATGAACTAATAAAAATTCCTTTTGTTTTTGGTGTTTACATGTGATTACGAACAGCGTTGAACATCAGATAGTGCTATTGTCCAATTACTTTTTACATTTTTCCAATGTTGATTGGATCGAACTCCGCAACGATCATCATCAACAATTGACAAAATCTATTTAAGTACAAAACAGAACAAAATAAAAACTAAAACTAATTTATTGAACTGAATAAAGATTGATTTGAAAATTGGGAATGGATTTGTTTTTTTCTAAAAATAATACTAACCGGTGATTGAAAAGTTGTATGAATGTGAGTGTGTAATCGAGAAGAGTGTTCATGGAGAATATCTCCAGATTTAAGCAAAGAAAAGTCCAGTTGATTGTTAACTGATTGATAACTAGTGTTTTGAAGAGAACTGATTGAATCATTTTTGTTCGTTGAAACGATTTCTGACTGATTTATTCGATATTTATCATTCAATTCCGATCGGATCTATTATATAAATTAACATATTATAAAAAGTGAAAGAAAGTGGTCGAACCGGATAAGAGAATTTCTCTTGAGAATTGGAAGGTTTATTGTTTGTTGGTATAGCAATGCTTGATGACTGAATGATTTTATTCTAACAGGAATAAACATTGAAGATCAAATAATATGTGAAGATAATCGCAGCAAATGAATATTTACCCTATGTGTGATTGGTCTCCTACGTTGTTGATAATCATGAGAGATTCTTTTCACATTCACGTTAGAAAATTGACGTTTTTGAACATTATGTTGGGTGGATTTCAAATTGTGCTTAGGAACTCGACTCATTCTAAACAATGAATAATTCAATTTTTATACTGCTTATCAAGAAAAATATATTCTTATACTCTTTGATCATTCGCTGATCACATGTTAACAAATGGCTTCTTTAATTCCATAGATCGAGAAAGAAAAAAAAAATAAGAAATTGGAAAACTGTCATCAATATATTATTTCTATATAAAGAAAAGGTATCGAATTCTATTGTTTGTCTTTACATTTGAGAGAACGAAAACAAAAACAAATAGATTTTATATTTATTCTGTATACCTATAAGAATAAAACTCAATAGTCTTCATACTTCATTACTGAATAGTTGCACACATTTCTACTTAATAGAGAACTATTTCTAATGTCTATACCCATTGAATTTTAATTAAAAAATATTTTATTGAAAACAGAGAAGTAGAAGAATATAATGTATTCTGTGTATAGAGAAAATAAAGCAGAAAAAGAAGTACTACACATACATACACAAAAATGTCCATTGCGACGCTGTCTCTACCATTATCACCGTGCCGATGGTGGTGCGACAGTGGTATGTCTTATAAACAAACATCGCAGTGCAGTGGCATCGTAAAAGAATTTTTCGTCGCCCGAGGACGCTTACTGAAAAAAAGGTCTCTACCAGCATCCTATACTAAATAGGATTTTTCTCTATCAAAATTCCATTTTTTAATCTTAATTCGGAATTTGGAATCAGCATCGAATTTCGCATCTAATGACGCTTCATTGAATTAAATATGAGAAAAAAAATTCGATGATCCTGAGTTTCTCCCAACGCCTGACAAAACAATAGGAAAAATGTTAAACTTCTTTTTAGGCAGAAAAAAAGTACATAATTTCACTTGAAGTTTAATGATCATTCACAATGTGTCATTCTTTTCAAAAAATTCCATGAGCAAAAAATGGATTTATCCAAACCCGTCCTTTAATGATTACACAACAAAGAAACAAATTCACTATGTAAGCCCTGTGCCGATATTTATATCACCTCTTGCTATCTCCCATATAAGCATGTATTATATTCTGAAGTAACGACATTCTCGATTATATAAGGTAACTCAATAAACATCATTACCGAGAGTGACGGTAAAGCTACTCCTCCAGTTTGTCATTGCAACTGTTGTCCATTTCAAAGTAAAGGTATATACACCACACCTTGATTGATTTCCTCCCGTTTATTTTTTTATTGTCTTTACGACTAAACCTCGTTTATTTTTTAACTTCTTTTATATAGGAAGAAAGTCCTAAACGAGCCGCATCTTGCAGTATATTTACATTGAACAATAAATACAATTTGAAGTATAAAAATTATATTAGGAAAAAGGTAAAATTGTTTTTGACTAGAATATAAATGTCCATCTATTATTTATTTTAAAACACAAGAAGAGTAAATGTTTTTGGAATAACTTTTGATAGAAACAAGATAGGGACCTGTGCTTTTCAGGATTCGAAAGAGGTGATGAAGTTGTGTCGATCCTTATATTTCCGATCTTGCTGGAAAGATTTACTAAGGTCTTCAGTCATGTTTTTCAAAAAAAAAATAACTATTTCAGGGAGAACACCAAATGGTTTTTTTATCAAAACATACAAAAAAAAGTTTGTCATTTGAAAAACATGACTGAAGACTTTAGTAAATCTTTCCAGGAAGATTGGAAATATAAGAATCGACGCAACTTCATCTCCTCTTTCGAACGCTGTTTCTCTTGATATAAATAATAGATGGAGATTTCTGTTGTAGTCAAGAAAAATCTCACCTTTTTTCTTATACAATTTTCATACTTCAAACTGTATTTTTTGTTCAATGTGTGCGATCGTAAGTATACTGTTCTTGGATATATACGTCACAGTAAACACCTACTCAGGTCAAACAAGCACGGTCATAAACGACCGTATACGGAGAAATACGATGATATACATGGTGTGAGTGTTGGTCTCCTCCCCAAACCCACACCCATGCCCTACACCCTTATTCAAAGGAAAAAAAAACCTTTTGCCTTTTTTTATTTAAAAGAATTGAAGATGAAAATATTCTTTGATTATTTTGTCCAATTTCAATTAAATCTAAATCAACAAAAAACGATTTTTCATTAGAAAAAAATGTAAATGAAAATAGAACTGATCTTTTGCTTCTTTCTAATATTTTATTTTATTTCAGAGATGATTCTTTTTTAAATCAAATACAAAAAGGTCTTTCAATAATAATCAAATAATTTTATCAAATCAAATCCTTTCTTCTTTTACATTTAGTTTTCTAAATTAAATGAAGTTTTCATCAATTGAATAATTTGTTTTTCAAAAAAGATTTTCTTCATTAATATGAAAAGAAAACTGAATATTAATGAAGAAAAAAGAAATTCATTTTCATCTTCATTCTAACAAGATTTTAATTCAATTGAAGTGGAAAATATTTTTCATAATATTGAAAATCAAATTGACAATTTTGATTTTTCTAATTCTTATTTGGAAAGAATTTTAAGTTTCTAATCAGTCTTTGAAAAATTGTAAATTTCTTATCTAATATTTTTATCGAGTAATAGAATTCAAGAATTTCAACTGAGCAGTCGAGCAAGAACAATACGAAACTATGTTCTGATCAATGAAACCAATGTAATTGATTCAGTTATGAAAACACACATACACGCCTCTACTTGCTCTCGATATTTAAGATGTTATTGCAACAATGTTAAGTTTGAATCCTATCTTAATTATCAGCAATTAGTATAAGTTCACTCGGTTTTTGGAAAACAAACTGGAAAATACATCAATGCTAGATAATTATTAAAGTTTTTATCAAGCTAACTTTGTTATAAATGTCAACGTGATATATAACTCTACATTAGGAAGTCATATATGATGAAGTTATATCGCGTTAATATAAAATATTGCTTTTCTACTGCAAACAATAGTTCTGAGCAAAGCGTATGATTTACTAACATTCAACTATTTTGTATATCTATGAAAAAAGTCATATGCATACAAGAGTAGAATCTGACTATGAATGTGTTAATAAAACTTGGATTTTTTCTCCCTTATTTATTTTTTAATCAAACATACAATGACATTTCCCATGGTAATACTCATATTTTGAGTCAATAAATAAATATCATATTCATTGTTTCATACATATATATCGAGTCGATTCACCTTTACATACGTCATAGTAAAATATATCATTACATACAGTTGTTATTGATTCTAAAATGAAATCAGTTAAAATGATATTTCCTCCGATTGAACTAAAACAATCCATGGAAGAGTACTGGCTGCGCAATATACAGAAAGACTTTGATTCTTTGCTGTGCTATCCAGACAACCTTAATAAGCCATTGTACACTATAGTAAACAGTCCACATACAGAAGCATCATCGAATGCTATTCTCCAAGCGTTTCTCTGAGTCTATTATCGACATCACGATATAGTGTTGTCGCCTGATGATATGTGATTGTTAGTATGTATGTATTTTGCTGAACATGTGAATAACAATGCAGAACAACTTCGATCAATTTTTGTTGAACACAAAGAAGGAAAAATATTATTAAAGGTATCTGATTCAAAAGATGAATACAATTGGGATGATTTTTTCGATAAAATGGAAGCAACAGTCGTGAAGAATACAAAGAATGACGTGTGCCAATTATTAACAGCTAACTTTTCCAGTACGGGAAAAATTGAATCGATTCTTTCAACTGCATGTATTATGTACGCATTCAAACCTTACTTCAATTACAAATGTTGCAGGCCTATATGTGGTATTCGGCGAGTACATTTCATGAGTAAGTATTTAATTTGTCAATTCTACGTTTCACTTAATGAAATGAAAAAAATAGTATCTATTAAATTGCCATTTATTGTCTTAAGTTCATGCGTTTGAAGAATTCTGGATCGATCTAATATAAGCAAAAGAAAACATTAATCGATTGCATTCGAAATCAATGATATACTCTGAGTTTCTTTAGCAATGAGCAGCCAAGGATAATTCAAACGCTAATTAATATGTGGTCTCTTAATAGACCTTGTCTCATTTGTATCCACAAGGGCGTTTTCACTGTTCTAGCTAATCGTGATTAACTATTCTAAGTTTGTAAATATTGCATTATACAAATCTTATTCGTTTTAATTGTTCTATTTACCTGTAGCTAACGTCATTTAATCATGATATATATGGCGTTACTATTATCTAATGATCTATTAATTATATTTCATATTCTATAAATTTGTTTCGATTTTTTGACTGGTAGGCACACTCAATGACTGGCAATCTCTTCGTGATAAAACGCAACAATTGAAATCGTTTAGTAATGATAAATTTCATGAATACATAAACGGTGTGTTGCCTATTTTCGATCAGTTCATTGAAACTTATAAAGGCAATGTTAATCGATGTTTTTGGGTTAAAGTGTGCGATATCAAACGAAAGAGAATAAAAAAGTATCACGCGTGCACCCCGAGATCCGTTTTCGTACCCCCACAATATCTTACCGGCTGGCTAGTGCAACTGTTTGGCTTGAAAGAGATTAGAGCTAAGCAACTAATCGGATTAGGGATACCTTGCATTCAAGTGCCACTAGAACTTGAAGATAGAGGGTCATGGGCGGACAACAAGATATGTCATATTGTTGGTGGATTTCATGGTATCTATTCAACAGAAAATCGTTACAAGCCTGTTATGAGTTTGTCAATCATTTCGAAGACAAATTCATCAATATCCGAAAAAGGTTTTCATAAATACTACGATACTTTTTTGCGAATGTTGACCTATTTTGTCAACATCATTTGTCACAAAGAACAATAAAAACGTCGCATGACGAGATGTATCTTTGCTTTAGATGGTGTAACGTTGTTAATATTAATTTTATCTTTCTCTTAAATAGACTATTCGTAATCTTAATTAATCATCTGATCAAACCAATTATCTGAATGAATTAAGCATCAGGTACCCCATAATACATTTTCGTATTTTGCATTTCATACTTGAATCTCTAAATACGTTTGATTAACCGATGCTATATTAGTGATGGGCGATGGCGATCACAGTTATGTATCGCAGAATCGTCCATGTTCACGTGTAAGATAATCATCAAAGTCGAGGAAAGATACAGTAATATAAGGGTGTGGGTGTGTGTAAAGAAAACCCACACCGACATCCATTGTGTAATCAGATGATCTACTTTTCTGGGATCAGTTACAAGAGTATTTGCTAGTTTAGTTCTCTGATAAACTAATGTTATTGCAAGTTGGAAAGAAAACAAAGATTTGTCATTATGTAAATACAAAACAAAATTGATGAATCAATGCAAAATAATAGAGAACAAACTCATGTTTTTCTTTATCGCTGGTAAGATTTTTTTTCTCTTCCTTCTTTCACCTTGACAGACAGTGAAAAGAAAAAGTTCTTCAATTTCTTTTTGTGTAAAAAAAACAACGAACATATGCGCCTTAAAAGAATCAATAAAAAAAGTTGACGAACATCATTTTTCGAATAATCAACAGTAAGTATATATTCTGCTTCAAAATATATAATTACTCATTTTTTTTCCATTAACTTTATAAAAAAAAGATTATAATAACAGATAAACAATCATTTTCATTAATTGAATTCCATTTTTAAAAGTAAATCATTATATATTTAAATCAAACTTCAACAAATAATTTCAGCCTGATCTCATTTATTAATAAAACAATTGTTCCTCAATTTTTCAATGACCATAATTTTCAAGTCGAGATTTTTTAAAAAAAATAATTTCTATAATTTATTGATTGGTTATTTTAGTATTTATATCTATAATAACATTTAAGTTCAACATAAACAATATTTTGCTTTCGTCTTCATAGCAATGTGTCAGTTTCGAGTGAGAAAAATCTTGCAAAACACAGTCTATTGAAAACAGATCATAGAATCATTTCAGGGCTTTTTTGGCTATTGCATCAAAAGTAATACCCTGATTCACTTTATTATTTGATTCTCTGAAAAATTTGTTTAGGTTGAACTCAAGAAATATTTTCTTGAAAATATAAGGAAAAAAAAATTTATTTATTTTACTCTATTATAGAATGATGTCAAGTCCAAATTTTATCCAACGGAAAGCTGTCGATGTTTCAGGTCAATTAGGATCATTGTATGATGCATCGTCTGATACTTTACTTAAGTGCTGTCGTGTTGAAAAGTTAGAAAAGACACAATTTCATAAGGATTCGATATGTCATGTGTTTCAAGGTACACAAGTAAATAACGTCATTCATTTGTTAAAAGCAATAAAATTTGATGATGCACTTTTACAAAGTATTCTACTTGGTATGGTTAGACCATTTGGAATCAGTTCTGTTATTAATTATAATCAACCTATTAATAATAATACTCATTTTCTATATTCTTCATATACATGTAGAACAGACAAACTAAATGTTACAGCTGGAGAAGTAAATCAAAACATTTCACTCCCATCCGATTTAAATAATGCGACTCATATGATTACGGAAATAATATACGGTTTTGAAATTTTATGTGTTATACAAGCTCCGACGACTGAATCTTCAGTTCAAATCGAACATTTACTTAACCGAATTTCTAAACAACTTCAGAGTTCCGACAAACCATTAAAACTCACTGATAAAGAAGAACGTCAAATTAATGAACTATCTAATGTGACCATATATGCCTCTGAAATATGTTGCAATGATCTAAGTAAATTATCAACTTTAACTGATCTTAATAATGTACAGTTTTGGAAGAACGATATAAACTCTTATACTCCGATTCTTTATAAAATGTCTTCACTAAAGTGTCTATATGAAAATCAATCATTTCCCGAACTATATTTTTTGTCCAATGATGATAACCCTAATATTGCACAAATCGTCCCTATGATAATCTATTTAAATAATCGGCTGAATGATCTTCAACGAATGTTGGAAACTCTTCCCCAAAACTCTAACAATTTGACATCCAATCGATGGTCAAAAGATATTCCAAAGCTGTTTGATGTTTTGCTGAGTACATATAAGCAATATCAAACAAAGCTTCGAAAAACGCTGATTGATGTACGTCGAGATGTTCATAAATCGACAAAAATTAACAAAGTAATATCAGACAAATGCTATTTCTCATTGACAAAATCTTCAATTGACGCATTTTACATTGACGCAGAGCAATGGCGGAAAAAAATCAAATTAATCAAAAGACTTAACGATGAAAAAATAGATTATTTCAATGTTCTCGATATTCTTCAATGCAAAAGTGTTTTCCTCACAATTCAAGATGTTGATGAATTACTCGATCGTCATTTTTCAAAGGAAAATAGTTCTGTAATTCTATGGTATTCAAGTGATCGATTGAAACGAGAAAAGTCTGATAGATGGAAGCAAATCTATCAAGAGATAACTGCACAACGACAGCAAGCAACACAACAAATTTCTTTAATCTATGTTGATTTCAGTCAATTTTCACGAAACTTAGAAGATTTTCATGTAAAAAATTTACCGATACAATCATCATTTGACACCCGACGCAGACATCATAGAGGTAAGAAAATTGATTATTAAGAAGTAAAAATTATCATAAGCTCATATTTGTAAATAGAACATCCTCTGCCATCAAATCCACAAGAACAACCATTATTAACATCTTCACCATCATCAGTAACTGAAATCAATGTATTACTTATGGGTGAAACAGGAGTTGGAAAATCAACATTCATTAATGCATTTGTTAATTATTTAATTTTCGATACTCTTGAACAAGCTCAACAAAATGAACCAATTGTATTAATTCCAGTTTCATTTCTTATTACTATTGGTGACCAATTTAATGAATTTATTGTTAAATTTGGTGATATTGATTCAAATGAAAATCATGAACATCAAGGTCAATCAGTAACACAACAATGTAAATCATATATATTCAAATTAAATGAAAAATTATGTTTACGTTTAATTGATACACCAGGTATGGGTGATACACGTGGTCTTGTTCAAGATGAAATAAATATTGATCATATATTAACATATGTTAATAATTTATCACATTTAAATGCTATTTGTTTACTATTTAAACCAAATGAATCTCGATTGAATATGTTTTTTAGTTCGTGCGTTAATCAATTGTTAATATATTTAACACCAATCTTTTATAATAATATTATTTTTTGTTTTACTAATGCTCGATCAACATTTTTTGCACCAGGTAATACTGGTTCATTACTTCGAGAAATGTTTAAACAAGAACATCTTAAAGATATTCCATTTGAAAAGAAAAATACATTTTGTTTTGATAGTGAATCATTTCGATATTTAGCAGCTAAAAAACGTGGTGTTGAATTTGATGAATTTGTAAAACAAGAATCTATTAATAGCTGGACAACATCAGTGACTGAATCTATACGTCTACTTCATTTTATTCTTAAGTTAAAACCATATGATTTAAATGAATGGCAATCAATAAGAAAAGCTAGTCTTGAAATCTCAATACTTGCTCGACCTCTTATGGAAACATTACGTTTAATACTTTACAATTGGAAATTACGTGAAACAGGAACAGTTACTGAAAGAATAGTATTAAATTCGAATTTTGTTAAAAGTGAATTATGTTCCAACTGTGCACAAAGTAATGTTGTACAAGTAGGACCATTTTACATATTTGAATATCAATCTGACAAAAACAAAGCAACTAAACATTGTTTGTGTCCCTTTGATGAAAGTCATTTTTTGATTGAATCTACAGTGAAGCATGAGTTTATTACACAGAAAACTGATCTTTCTACCGATGAATTAAAGACTTCATTTTTTGACTTACTATTCAAATGCGATAGGCTCACTCATTTCTTGCAACAAAAAGAACAATTGAAGGATATGGATCCATTTACGCCTGTACTCAAACGATTTCTAGAAGAAGAACGACACATTTCTGACGTTTATAATAGTAACCAACCTATGAATAAGGGAATAAAAGATGCGTTACGTTCTATAAGACAAACACGTGAACAAAATAAGAAACAAATATTGAAATCAAATGAAAAACTTTCACTTAGACAACAATATGAAATAATCGGTGAATTAAAAGCCATGCCAGATGTTAAAAATCAGATCAAAGACATGACGAAAACACGCCGATTAAAAATGCAAGCGAATGAATATTCTGTAAAACTACCACAAACCAAAAGCAAAGTATTTTCTCAATTTACCAGTTCTCAATGATTTTTTTTCAAAAAGTTAATTTTTATATTCAAGATTTGACATTCAATTTTTTTGCTTGTATAAAACTGCATAACGAGATAATGAGTTAATCATGAAAAATATTTTTCATTTCATATGATAAGATAATTTTGTGTTATTCATTTTCTTTAACATTAATGATTTTTTATTTTAACTTTTAACATATTCAATGTGCTTTTTTTTATGTAGAAAACATAAATAAATCGAATATTAGTTATTACATGCTGTTATTTTTATTTTATATTTTATATTGATAATTATGTGCCAATGTACATATATTCGAACGAGATGTTATTGATATACGGTCTTTGATCATATATCAAAAACGTCGTTCATGTCTCTCATGAATCACTGCCAATGTGTTCGCGATCTGTCGATCCCGTCTGTCATGATCTACAGCGAAAGAGAAGTGAATGCAAATCTATACCCTATGTACTTCAACACTTCTTTTAGATCATGTTTGACAAAATATTAAGAATAGAAAGTCTTCTATTGAGATAAAAATGAAGAATCGATCATTTAAATATTGAACTTCAAAGCTTTTTTTATTATTTTTGTTATTATCTCGTTATTAAGTTTTTTTTCTTGAAAATTGAATAGTCTTCAGTTTTTATAGCAAATCATTATTGTTTTCATTAATCCTTCCAATATTTCCTATTGTCCTGTAGATCAGTGTCAGATATCTTTATATATCCGAATTATTGGCATTTATTGATTAATCAGTAAAAGCTAAAAACAAATTTTGGCTTTATTTTGTTTATCATCAAATTATCAAAACAGATTTTAAGCGAATAATCATTATTCTCATAACAACTGCTAGATGTTTAAGCAACTGAAGTAATATTGTATAGTAACATCATATTAATCGACTATATCTAAACATTTGAAGTTCTGAAAAATCGTCTGTAGCCGGGTGAAAATGCTGAGTGTACATGAAACATCAATTTTATGAATATCTTTCTTCTTAGCGAAAAGTTTTTGTTAGAAAATTGACGCTCATCAAAACATTAGTGAACTACCTTACATATGAGACTCTTAAGCAAATTCGTTCGGATTAGCCTATTGTGATTATGTCTGTTTCATTTCTTGGAACCGTTAATGATCATTTTGAAGAATGAATTGTTTGATTTGGGAATGCAGAACCTAATAAAGATCATCATCATCATTCAGGTCAATCGATAATTCAACATTGTAGATCATATGCCTTTACTATTGATGCATCTGGAATGGGCGAGTAGCTTGTACCACTCCCGACAATGATGTTTATTTGGCTATTTCATTTATCCAGAATATAACAATTCATATATAGCACACATTTATAGAGAAGGAAGACAAAGGTAGATGGACACACGTAAGAATAAGAGAGAAAGAGGAAATATCATCCGGAGGTGATATCAGTTCATTACAAAATTATATTTCTACATGCTTAGAAATTTATTTAAAAAATCATTTTCTTTTTAAATTTGGATTTATATAATATGTTTAACATTATTATTCAATAAATAGATTATTAATCTACTACAAATAAATTTTATTTATATGCACATCATGTTGATTGTTTAACACTCAAATTTGTTGATATTTTTTGATAGCATTTAATTGTATTTTAATCATAGATATTTCATCAACTGATTTTATTAAATTGTAAATTTCTGATAAGGTTAAATCATCTCTGTTGGATTTTATTGTATTAAGATCTTGTTCATATATTGACTTGAATTTTTTCAATCTATTCAGCAATTTTCTATTTAAATTATTCTATAGTTTGTGTCTTGAAAATAAAATTCTTTTCATTGATTATTCTATTAATATCATTAAGAAATAGATCTTCTTTTGAATTCGAAGATGTTTCCATTAAAAAGTAAGATAATTTTACACATATTTCATAGAGATATTTAAGTTGTGATTTTAAATTATCCATTGATTCATCAACTTTCTGGTTAAGAAATTCATAATTTAAGTGTATGTTCAATTAGTTTTTGTTCAGGTGATATACACTATAAGTAGATATTCAGTAGTTATTAACCACACATAGGAAATTTTTAAATGCATACCGTAATTTAATGAACTAATTATTCTACCCAAAAACAATGATAACAAATATTCAATATGTTCTTTTAAGAATTTTATATATAAGTATGAACAAAATATCGTAGATATATGAGTTTTTTGACTTATCATGTTTGGTGAATGATGCAAATGATCTGGCATTATCTAAATATTACTATAATTCTCAGGATGATGATTGTATGCATAGCAGAGCATTGTGAAATGTTCTACATGTGTTGCATGAAGTTTAATAGACGAATTGAACTTATATAAAATCATATTTTGAAGATGATTTCTTCAAGCTTCTAAAATTAGATGAATCATGTTTTTGATTTGAAATTGAACATCTTTAACTTATTGCCATTCATTATTTTTACAATAACCTTACCATCATAAATCTGTTGACTTAGTCACAAAAACAAATGAAAACACTTTGTTCGGATCGAGAAAATTTCTACGAATGTGAGCGTTTTTTTGGATCGTACTGATGGAATAGATCCTTTTAAATAAGTAGATTCTCATGACTTTGTATCTATCTGGAGTAATCACGACTCAGCTAAATGAAATAAAAGTTTCAGTGAAACTAGAACTTTCATAAATCTTGCTGCAGTAGAAGTTTCAGTTCTTTATCAGGTTACATTAATGAGTCGTGATAATTCAATGTAATTTTTTCTTGTTTATTAGTTTTTACTTATTGTTTAGAGTACTGTAAATGAAGAAAATATTGATTTGAAAGATATGCCACCAATAACTTCTATTATAAGTTAAATCTAGCATTGCAATAGTGATATATGTATAATTTCATGTAATATATTTTTAGACAAGAAAACAATTGTTTCCTCAGAGAAGATAAGGTGACCAAGTTCATATGGTTTTACACAACGAGAACAACTACAATCATCGACACCACTGATTAACACTTTTGATGGAATACATACGTTGATGACTTCTGAAATTAATAAATCTTCTGCAACAGAAAAGCTTAAACAAATAGTCCAGCCAGACAGAATCAATAGAAAAATGCATTTCTACGTGTTAAAATGTGCGCTTTTTACATTTTCAGCAAAAAAACTTTCGACAAAGAAAGCGAGTTCAAAGACTATGAAGTCTATAAACTTGGTTTTCACAAAGATAAAAATCGTTTTTTCAGTATCAAAAGTACATATTTTAACGCTAGCTGTGACAATAGCCAGAGCTTTATTTTGAGTCCGTAAAAAGTAACTTCATCTTTAGTTGGGATATATCAGAAATAACTTCAAAATGTTTACCTATGTTATGCACCCCCCTTAACAAAATCCTGGCTACGCTCCTGTCTCAATCGTTTTGTCATTGGTAGTTAGAATACTTCTAGGATCACTGATATATTTCAAGGAGCACTTGAATAATTGCGTAAATATTCAATGCTGTATGAGTTGGTTGAATAGTTCCTGTACTCTTTCCCGGAACGAAAATCGAATGTGAATCTTTCGGTCTCGATCACCAAATCAAAGTTTCAATTCGTTGGATGCCTAGACTCAACGGAACTTCAAAAGCATTCACACATGATGCCAAAATTCTGAGGTTTTATACTAACTTTGATGCGAAACCTCTCATTAGAGTCATGCGAAAAATATTAAAGACCTTTTGTACTCAATCTATAAGGTTTGGCATTACGTGCGAACGTTTTGTAGGTTTGATCGATTCATGCTAAGTGTTTAAAATTTCGTACAACTTTAGTACCGTTTTAAGTTTCGTAATAAATCCTTTTTTTTTACAATGTAATTATCCTGTATGCTGAAATTCCACTAATTCCCACATTGGTACCCATACCCTCACACAATGTTGAAAAACATTAATTGAATTAATGAAACCGATATCTCTGACATTTCAATTTTGCAAATGAAAATTCATGGTAAGTACTTAGTGTTTTCATATGTTTTTTAATCTATTTTGGGACAATAACGAGAACAAAAATAGATATCAACAGTTTCGAGAACTATTCATTTACAGAACGTGGAATTTAATTTATATTTGAAATACTTTGCAAATGAGTTCAATCATTTTTTTTTTGTGAACTTGGTCAAACAGATTGTTGATCGAAGATCATTGTATCAGTTTTTCCTGTTCATTCATATAGATATCTTCCATTTGTTTGATAGTTGATAATTGTTCACTTATTTCTCTTATTTCACTGGCAGTTTTTATTATTTTGTATATTTTCGGTAAAGTTATAGTTTTTGGGTTTGACATTGACATAGACCAAGCTTCTTCATATTCATTTTTAAAGCTTTTTAGATCATCATACAAATTTGCATTAAGATTCTGATTTCCTTTTTGTGAGCAAATAGATTTTTCTTCCTTGATCAGTCGATTGAGAACAGATAATATTGGATCATTTTCTGTTGCGATATGAACAAGATACTTATAAAAATAAGCAAATTGGATAATTATCTGTGTCAATTGTTCTAAATTTCTTTTCATATCATGAAAAGTTGGTTCTTGTTTCTTATCACAAAGTTCATATTTAAGTACATAATTTACTTTGAAATGTCGTGAAAAATCACACTCACATTGGCTACATCGATCTGAAAGAGTATGCAAATCGTAACACATAATCCAAAATTCACCACATAGTATAGCATAATGCGAACATTTCGTGCATGTAGCAGAATTTCTATCAACAGGTGATGGACATAATTTTATTAATGATTTAGATGAAGACTTATCCAATAATATTAAATTTCGCATTGTATTTTTTATTGTTTCTAATATAGGACGAATCATTCGATTAATTTGAAATTGAGCATGTTCAATGGACATCCAGCTTTTTTGCAAACACGGTTTGAGTTCATTACAAATATATTGAATAAGACGATTTGTTTCGTTTACAGAAGTTATCCAACTTCGTTTGTATTCATCTTTTTGATAATCATCAAATTCGATTCTATTTTTTCGAGCGATTAAATATCGAAATGATTCACTATCGAAACAAAATGTATTTGATTTTTTAAATAGAATATCATTGAATGAATATGTGTCAAGCATTGATTTGAGTAGAGGTGCAGTATTACCTGGTGCGAAAAATGTTCCTCGAGTATTTGTAAAACAAAAAATTATATTATGATGAACACTTTCACCTAAAAAGCTTAACAATCGACCAAAGTATGAACGTAAAACAACATTTAATCTTGATTCATTAGGTTTAAGAAGTATAAAAATAGCATTTAAATGTGATAGATTATTAATAAATGATAGAATATGTTTCATATTAAGATCATCTTGATCAAGTCCACGAGTATCTCCCATTCCAGGTGTATCAATTATTCTTATCTTAGTTCGAGTACCAATAGTAAAAACATATGATCTACAATGTTGAGTTACGGATTGACCTGGATGATGATGATCTTCATTTGGATCTTCATTACCAAATCTAATAATTCGTTCTTCAAAATTATTACCAACTGTGAGAAGAAATGAAATCGGCATAAGTACAATAGGTTCACTAGAATGAGCTTTTTCAAGAGTGTGAAAATTAAGATAATTAACAATAGCATTGATGAATGTTGATTTTCCAACACCAGATTCACCTAAAAGAAGTACATTAATAAAATTATTTATTGACGAATTTGATTTATTAGAATGGTGTTTTTTGGATGATGACAATGTCGTAGAATCTAAAGTTGATTCTGTCCGTGAAGTCTTTCGCAATTGACGAATTTCTTTCGATGGCAAGATTTCCATTTGTGATAATTGATATGAACAGTAAGAAAAATCAGCATAAACAAATTCTAATTGAGAATTATTTTCGCGTTCATTGATTAACTTAATATAAAAATCGTTCCATTTTGATGAATTTAACTTCTCTAATTTATCATCAAAACAATAAACAATTTTCTGTTTGCTTTCATGCATAATCCTTGTCATAATACCTTCCAAATTTATATCATCTTCTATGATGAATTCTTTTACATTTAGATATTCGATTCCCTGTTTTGTAAAACTATCGATTAATTGTGCTTTTTCTCTCAAAGTATTTCGGTGTTTAGTAACATTACGAATCTCCTTTAATAATCGTCTATCTTCTGTATCGATTAGCGGTTCAGATAATGAATCTTGTTCAATATCTCCATCGCGAATTTGTAAAATTAAATTTTTCTTTTGATCTTTTCTTCCTTGATAAAGTTCCTTCACGGTAGAATCTCGTTGTTGAAATTCCTCATATGGTTGCTTGAGATATTTTTTAAGCAATTGTTTGATTTCAGAATTGTATGATATGTTCCATTGTGTTCTAAGTAATGATAACTGATATAAATATGGTTCTATTTGATCCATATGTTTTTGATTGATTGAAACAAACCTTGCCTTCTCTTTCAGATACGATGGATAAAAACATCTAATTGGTCGAAGAGTATATTCTATAAAACGATGTTGAGAACTGTCTGATCTTATATCAGTTATTTTTTCACACACATCAGCTAATTTTTTTAACTTTGCAACATCAGGTATATTGGAAAAAACTTTTATATGAGTAAATTGATTGAATAAATCCTTGTCATTTGTTGCTATGTGAAAAGCATTTTTAGTCAACTGTTCTTTTATTTTCTTAAGTAGTTGATCAAAATCAGATTCGTCATCAGGTGTTAACTGTAGTACAATAATAACATGAATTCCATACTTAATTCCAGTTACAACATGAGTTACATTGGTATCAGCTATAGATTTTTCAATTGTTTTCAATTTAGTAGTAGTTTGTTCATTATTCGATTGAATTTGTTGTGATATATAGTAATAAGAAAGAAATCGAGTATATTTATCGATTGTGAATGAATGTTTAATTAACGAAGATATTCCATCGGAGGCTACTAATTTTAAGTATATACTCAAGCACAATTCTCTATCGATACCAATTATATCAGATAGATTTTTGTTTTCTAGCGTACCAATATTTATTTCTGGATTCTTCGCTGCTTTTGATAATGCAATCGGTGTAGAAGAAATATTCAATGCTGGAGTTTCTAATAAATGATCGTGCCTTGCATTGTAAAGAGACCCAATAACACCAGATTGATCAATAGCTAGACGATATATGTGGTCGTCTGTGATTGATTTTTCATCATGATTAGAAGAATTTCCAGGTGATACTGTGTTTGACCGAGATGACTTCGATTTTGATAGTTGTATTCCCATTTGAACTACCAAATTAGTCAATGAAAAGTCTATTCAAACTATACTTAACCATAGAATGAACCAATGATTCTAAAAAAACCTAAATCGATAGTATTGCATACTCTTGATGCACACTTATTCGAACTATCGCCGATTGATTGCCAGTATAACTTGTACTTAGTGAATTTACTCATTCACTAAATACAATTTACCAGCATGATTACTGACGCGATCAGTACTATTACAACAATTTAATGTGTATGTACATTTTATCTCTACTCTATCGCGTAGATACATAAGAAATTTTTCTCATTAGTTTACTCACAGACGAAAGCATGAGTACTTGCTGTAATACTCATGGTCACTGTTTTCTTACAGAAAACTATGTAACATTAAAGAGGAAATAGGGAAAATTGGTTCGACGAATGTATTTATTTCTTTTTCTATTCTTTTTTGATGAGTTATTTTGATCAATAATGACATCAAGAGTAGAAAAAACAAATTTCCATTTTCACCTATTTACTTTATAAATGAGATGGAACAGTTTTTTTAAACATACAGATAATAATTCTTTATATTTCATTTTCTGAATTTAAATAAAATATTCTTCTACATTAAAACAAAGATTTTTCAGTATAATCATGAAAAACCAATGAAATAAATGATGGGTAATAGCTTCTATAATGAATGAGTTGCAATTTCAAATTATGGAAACATATACATAACCCTCACTTCTACTCTATTTCCTAAACATGGCATATTGATCTCAATTCCTTACTTAAAAAAAATATATGAAAATAAAATAATGCTTCTAGACATGAATTTAATTGTTTTTCTAAAGTTTTCGTCAACTGTATCTTTACCTTTGGTCCTTAGCGTTATGTTTAAATGAATGAATGTAACACAGCAGTACTGAATAGAATACAGGCCCATAAGCATTTTGCCTAATCATTGGAATATACACGTACTGTACCTTCAATCTTTTCTTTTTCTTTCAAAATTAATCTTGAATGCTTATTTTACTTATAAATGATTAACAAATTTTTAAATTTATATAAAAAACTCATATTCCTGTAAACAAGATTGCGTTTAGTTTTGATTTGATAAATTCTATTTCAATGTTTATCATCGTAAATTATCTAAGTTAGACTTTCTTCTTTTTCAATCTATCTTACTATTGTAGTACAAGTCGTTAATAATAATAATATTGTAACTAGATTTCAAAAAGATTTTATTCTCTTCGTTCTAATAGATTGTTTTAATGAATACTTATGATATAAATTTCCTATTATTTAATTGTTTATCGGCTGTCTTTTGTTTTCTAATAGGAGAATATTTTGTTAAATTTTAAGAACTTAAAATTTAAAAAAATTCAATTCTACAGTTTAGAATTTTCGCAATAGATTTTCATTTGAAAGTCATGTGTAAAAATCTCATTTCTTTCGTCTGTTTTACTTACCTCTACAATCGTATAAATATGCAGAGTCGTTTTTATTCTTTTATCGCTACATAAAGTTATTTTCTTACAGATAAAATGTGACAGAAAGAAAGAATAATGCTTCAAGAAGACTTTTATATCGTTGTAAGAGTTAACGCGTATGCAGAAATACAGGTATGAGAATGAAATAAAATTTTGTGGGTGTGGGTGTTGTTTTCTTTTAAATCACACTCCACACCCACACCCACACCCACATCTACACTCACACCCTAAGAGCGATCATTTTCAACCGCTAACCGAATTTCTGACTCGAAAAAACTCGAATTTTTCTGTCGTCTAAGTAAAGAAAAATTCTCTGAAAGTTTTCAAAAGCATACTATATACATTTCACATTTGTCAAAAGTCTTTGGAATTCAAAGAATAACTACTAGAATCTTTTTGTGAAGGGACTACTGATTAGAAGCTGAACTTTTCCAAAACGAGCTTGCAGACCAGCAAAAAAAAGCGGAGTATTTGAGACACCTGGACTAACCAAAGATGTGATTGCTCATTTCTAATAGTACACACAGGTAGAGAGGGAAAACCTCGCACATTGCTTCTCCATATAGGAATAATGTAGAGATCGTTATTTAACTTGACTTGAAATCTGAATGTGAGTTCTACATATATTGATATTCTGAAACAGTACTGTACGTCATGTTGAACGGACTTTTCTTGAGTTTAGCTAAACTATACAATGTTGGCAGGTCTATCAATACTCCGTTGATGATGAAGATCATCTAAGTACCTCTGTCGTGATTTATTCGTATCCTGAAACTATATTTCTATTAAAAATTCACAAAGAAGAACAGTTAAAAACGCTTCGACAACAGAACGAAGAAATACAAACGAAGAACTGCTCCAAAGTTTGATAATGTTATGAGCAAAAGAAGTCATTGTAATAGAAAAATGTCTTCTAGAACTACTTGATTATGCAAAAAATTAAAGAAGTTACACTGACAGTACAAACCAACTTCAAGTACCACGCTTCGATTTCACACGCATAGAGTTAAACGAAATTTGATAGTTTCAGCATTTTTATTCTCGGAGTGCATTATCCAATTTAACTCAGTTTACAAAGTTTTCAAGAATCGTATAAATCCATTAATTTCCACCTTATACAAATAATTGTTATTGAGCTGTCTATTCTAGTTTTATTCGAGTCATGAATCAATAATGCTGCATCAACAATGTCCTACGTGATTGAATCATATACGAATGACAAGCAAAACAACATTTATGACAACGAATACTTCCAGTTCAATAGTTTCAGTTCTTTCGGAAGCTTTGCCGAAAGACATATCGTCTTAACGATGACTGGGTTTATGGACCTTTGCCATGACGACATTGGTTACATCTACACTCTCAATCAGACACCGAGTTCAATCTAGTGTTAAGCTAGGCTATTGATGGCATCGTCGATCATCACCTCACAAATGAATCATTCTCATAAACACTCCGTTCGGATATTCTGCTCACATCATAACCAATTTTGCCTGTTGGTGACTTCATTGAGCATTACAACCCACATATACAATTCTCAGCAGCACTTTGTTTAACTATCATGCACACTCCAGGGTTAAGCTTGGCTATTGATGACGTCACGGACCATCATATCGCCAATGAATTATTCTCATAAACACTCTGTTCAACTGCATTGCTCACTCGGAAACTAAGCATTACTGTTTATGGCATTATCGACCATCATGTCACAAATGAATTATTCTAAGCAGAGCTCTATTCAACTGTAGTACTCACTTCAAAGTCAATTTTGGCTATTGGGAACATCATTGACTATCATATTACAAATGAATGATTTTCACAAACACTTTGTTCAACTATAGTACTGACTTCAAAATCAAAATCGACTGTTGATGGCATCGTTGACTATCATATCACAAAGAAATCATTTTCATAAACACTCTGTTCAACTATGGTACTCACTTGAAACTGAATCTTGACTACTGCTGACATCATTGGCCAATGCATCAGGTATGAAATTTGTCAATCCTTGCAATTTTCACATGTATTTTTGTGTTCAAGTACTACAAACCAGTACGCACTAAAATATTTGTTCCAACAACCGACCATCACATCACAAATAAATCATTCTGACTAGTATTCTATTTAACTACAGAGCTTACTAGACAATGAAGTTTGTCTGTTGATGATATCATCAACCATCACATCACAAATGAATCATTCTCATCATCACTGTGTTCATCTACAGTACACAATTCGAAGTCGAGCTTGGCTATTGGTGACGTCATCAATCATTACATCACAAATGAATTATTCTCAAAAGCACTCTGCTCAACTATGATACTCACTTCGAAACTGAGCTTGGCTGTTAGTGACATTATCGATCATCACATCACAAACGAATCACTCCCATCAGCACTCTGTTCAACTATGGCAATCACTTCGATGCCAAGCTTGGCTGTTGGTGACGTCATCAACCATTACATCATAAATAAATTATTGTCAATAGCACTCTGTTCAACTATGGTAGTCACTTCGGAGCTAAGCTTGGCTGTTGATGATGCCATCGATCATCACATCATAAATGAATCATTATCACGAGCACTATCTTCAACTATGGTACTCACTTTGAAGCCAAACTTGGGTGTTGGCGATGTCATCCACCATCACATCACAAATGAATCACTCTCACCAGCTCTCTCTTCATCTATGGTAGTCACTTCGAAGCAGAGCTTGACTGTTGGTAACATTATTTCCTGTCGCATTGCAAATGAATCATTCTCATGAGCACTTTGCTCAACTACGATACTCACTTCGAACCCGAGCTTGGATTTTGGTGACATAGTCGATGATCACATCACAAGTAATTCATTTTCACCAGCACTCTCTTCAAATATGTTGCTCATTTGGAACTAAAGCTTGGCTTTTGATGACATCATTGACTATCACATCAACAGTGAATTACTCTCATTAGTGCTCTATTCAACTGTGCTGTTCATTCCGAAGCCAGATTTGGCTGTTGATGGCGTCATTGAGGATCACATCACAAACGAATGATACTTACAATTTTCTCGTCCACAAATGTTGCTCAGCTCGAATCCAAGCTTGGCCGTTGGTGACGTCATTAGCCATCATATCACAAATGAATCATTCCCATCATCATTCTCTTCAACCATGATGCTCACTTCGAAGTCAAGCTTGACTGTTGTTGATATCATCGGCCATCACATCATTAACGAATCATTCTCATCATCACACTCTTCAACTATACTTCTCACTTTGAAGCCAAACTTGGCTATTGGTGACACCATCAACCATTACGTCACAAATGAATCACTCTCACCAGCTCTATCTTCATCTATGGTAGTCACTTCGAAGCAGAGCTTGACTGTTGGTGACGTCGTCAACCATCGCATCACAAATGAATCATTCTCAT